ACCCCTGTACCTCTACCTCCCCATGCCCATTTCAATACACAGACTGTGAAGGACAAGGACTTCACTTTCTTCTCTTTTGCTTACTCTTCACTCTCCTTTCATATGCATCCATTTATGCCTGGCATGTAAAAAGTCATTTGTATCCATGTCCTGGAGAGTTATGATGCTAGTTCTTACTAGTCTAGGGAGTGGGTGGACGTACCAAGAAAGAACTCCCAAGCATCCTTAAAGCATGAAAACTGGACAGATGAGAAAATAATTTGTAGAAATGTTCCAGTGTGCTAAATCAAAACAAACCACCCCCGCTCCAAAACAAAAAACAAAACAAAAAAAACCCACCTCAGTTGGTAGAGCCTATTTAGCTCCCAGTCTTTCCTATGGAAGTTTGTTGGTTTGGGTCAAAATGAATTATTGGCTTTCAGGTCATTTGTATTAATTCACAGATACCTTCTTGCATTCACTTCTGAAAGGCACAGTGAGAAACAGAATTCAGTGCCCTCAGTTATTCCTGGCTTCTCCACATTTGGTCATTCTTTCCCACTCCCTTTTTTTTTTTTTTTTTTTTTTAGTGGTAAAGTAAGCATATTATGAAATTTGTTAGCATCTATTTTTAAGTTCAATGGCATTAAGTATAGTTTGGTGGCATTAGCATATTTCGTATTTTTGTGCAACCATAACCAATCATCCAGCTCCAATACTCTTTTCAACTTGAACCCATCACATAATTACCCATTGTTCCCTTTCCCAGACACTAGCATCCACCATTCTATTTTCTGCTTGTAACTTGACTATTCTTAAGTACCTTACAAAGTAAAATCATACAAATATTTGTCTTTTTGTGACTATAATGTTTTACTTAACATAATCACTTCCAGCTTTATCCATGTTGTAGTACATTCTGGAATTGTTTTCCATTTTTAAGGCTGAAAAATATTCCACTATATGTATATACCAGTTTGGCTTATCCATTTATCTGTCAATGGAAAGTTGGTTACTTCCACATTTTAGGTATTGTGAATAATGCTGCTGTGAACATGGGGGTACATGTCAAGACTGTTTTTTATCCTTTTTTTATATACATAATTTGATGGATCATGTGGTAGTTTTATTTTTGTTATTTTAAAACCATTCCATACTTTTTCACACTGGCTGTACCATTTTACATTCTCACCAACAATGTACAAGGATTCCAATTCCTCCACATTCTCACCAACACTTGTTATTTGCTATCCTAATAAATTCGAGGTAGTATCTCAGTGTAGTTGTGGTTTACGTTTCCCTTATCATTAGTGATGCTGTGTATCTTTTCATGTGCTTATTGGTCATCTGTTTATTATTTTTGGAGAAATATATATTCAGGTTCTTTGCTTGTTTTAAAAATGCAATTGTTTTAGTTGTTGATAGTTTGGGGAGCTTTATATACATTCTGAATATTTACTCTTATCAGCTATGTGATTTGCAAATATTTTCTTCCATTCTTTGAATAGCCTTTTCATTTTATTAATAGTATTTTGTCAAATGCATAAATTTTAAATTTTTCATGAAGTTCATTCTGTCCATTTTTTCTTTTGTTGCCTACAACTGATGTCATATTTAAGAAATCATTGCCAAATTCACTGCTGTGAAGATTTTGCCCTGCTATCTTCTAAGAATTTTATAAATTTAAGCCTTTCATTTAGGTTGTGATCCATTTTTAGTTATTTTTGTATAGTATTAGGTAAGGGTCCAGCTGCATTCTTCAGTATGTGTATATACAGTTTCCCCAGAACCATTTGTTTAAAAAATTTTATTTTCCCCCATTGAAAATTATTTGGTCATATATGTGAATTCTAATCTATTCAAGGTCTGCATATTACTCAGGAGTAAGTTCACACTCCTTTGGGTTTATTTCACTGTAAATTGAAGAACAGAAAAATGAAAGAAGTATAGGGAGTGGAAGAGGCCCTTGGGGATCTTTGTAAATAGAGCCTTTTGTATTCCCAGTTGTGCCTATGTGAAAGCTGAGGAGCAGAAAACCTACCCACTGATTTTTCAAGCCCTCACTTTCCTTCCACACACAGATGGCAATAATTTGAATCAATCACCAAATATGGCAGGATATTTATTCCGACTTCTGAATAAAGGGAAAAGGGAAAGAGCTCTAAAAGAATGAAGGGCTTTCCACACACATCAGTGAACATAAAATTGTAGACATTTTCACTCAGTTGGGAGAGTCCTAGATTAAGAGTCTGAAATTCCCCCAAATTTGAAAAGCCCACATTTTTTTTTATTAGAGTATTATAGTTTTACCTCATAGTTGGGTTCATCCAGACAAAATCATACACACATGGAATTTGATTTCAGTTCACAATTCCCCTCTTCTTTCCTGTCTTCTCTTCTCTCTTCCATTTTCCTTTCTCTACTCTACTAGACTTCCTTTCACTCATCTATTTATTTATATTTGATTAGTTCTTTTTATTTACACATAAAGGTTAAATTCCATGTGTTATATTTATACATGCATATAATGATTTTTTAAGAACTCCTTCTGGGGGCTTGGGTTGTGGCGGTAGAGCAATTGCCTTGCACCTTGGAGACCCTGGGTTCGATCCTCAGCACCACAGAAAAATAAATGAATAAAATAAGGGTATTGTGTCCAATTACAACTAAAAAATAAATATTAAAAAAAATTCATTCTGCATTGCCTTGCCTTTTCCATCCCTCCATTCTACTTCTTCTTCTACACTGAGGATCTTCTCTATATTTTTATGACATCCTACCCTTTTCTCCTCCTTTCATTTATCTTAGTCTACCTTCCACATATGAAAAAAACATTGATCTTTAAGTTTCTGTGTCTGGTTTATTTCACTTAGCACAATATTCTCCATTTACATCCATTTACCAGCAAATGCCTAAATTTTATTCTTCTTTATGGATAAGAAGAACTCTATCACAATTTCTTAATCCATTCATCTATTGATGGGTATCGGGTTGATTCCATACTTTAGCTATTGTGAATTATGCCTCTATCAACATCAAGGTGCTTATATTGCTATAATATACTGATTTTAGTTATTCTTGGAAAATACCAACAAGTGGAATAGCTGGGTCATAAGGTGGTTCCATTCCTAGTTTTTTCAAGAATCTTCACACTGCTTTCCAAAGTGGTTGTACTAGTCTGCAGTCCCGCCAACAATGTATACGTGTACCTTCCCTACCCCTAACCTCGACAACATTTATTATTATTTGTATTCTTGATAATTGCCATTCTAACTGGAGTGAGATGAAATCTTAGTGTAGTTTTATCTGCATTTTCCCAGTTGCTGGAGATGTTGAGCACTTTTTTCATATATTTGTGTTTCTTCTTTTGAGAACATTTATTGATTGGGTTATTTTTATTTTGGAGGGGGTGTTAAGTTTGTTGCATTCTTTATATATTTTGGATATTAATCCCCTCTCAGTGAAGTAGCTAGCAAATATTATTTCCCATTCTATATTCCCCTATTCTCTCTTCATGCTTTTAATGATTTCCTTTGCTATCTAGAAGCTTTTTAATTTGATGGCATTTCATTTATTGATTTTTGGTTTTCTTTCTTGCACTTTGGGGTTCTTGATAAGGAAATCTATGCCAGCATCAATATGATGGAATGTTGAAATATTTTCTTCTAGAAGTTGCAAGTTTTCTGGTCTAATTCCTAAGTCTTTAATGTATTTTGATTTGAATTTTGTGCAGGGTGAGTGATAGGGATCTGGTTTTATTTTTCAACATAGAAAGTCCCACAATTTACACAATAAAATCTCCTCTGGCAGCTATAACTTATTCACAAACATCCGCCTGCACTCGTTTTCTCAAGGAAATCTTCCAGAGGGCTAAGAGCAGGAACATGGAAATTGCATGCCTTCAAGGTTCCTTGGCTTTACCAATTAATAGTTTTGTTCAGAATTTTAAGTCTTCAGATGAAAACCTGCCTGAAATACTTCTGTTGTAATTATGCAAGGATCTTGAAAGGTTCAGGAAAGAAGCAATCTCCATATTGATCATATAAGCCAAATTGAAAGCAGCCAGTGATCCAAAGCCATGATCTGTGCCATTGCTCAGACAATCCCATCCTATTTGCTTTGCAGTACTCAGGAACCTTTGGATTTTCCAATTCACAGAGGGCAGGCACCATTTGAAAATTTCCAGGCCTCTCCTTCCTTCTTTCAAATATCTGTAGAGCAGGACTTTTCCTTATATCAATGGGTTCTCAGAGGGAAGGCATTTTGACAGCTTTTGCTGGGTCCTCCAACTTTTCTCACCACCTTGCATCTGCCCTTGCCTTGTTAATTCTGGCAAAAAAAAAAAAAAGGGTAGGGGGAGGGGGAATTGTCACATTACTTAAAGTTGATGGAGTTTTGATGTTGTTAAAAAAATGCTTTGGGGCCCGGGTTGTGGCTCAATAGTAGAGCGCTCACCTAGCACACATGAGGCACTTGGGTTTAATCCTCAGCACCATTTTATTTATAAAAATAAAATAAAGGTATTATGTCCGCCTACCAATAAAAAATAAATATTTTTTTAAAATGTTTTGTGGATATAATCCTCAAATGAGGATAAAGATGGAGTGTGGAATCAGAACTAAGGATATGATCTTAGTATGTGGGATTCCTGGATCAGCTGTGAGAGTCAGCTGGAAAATGAATGTTGGCTCTCCATCTGATGCAATGCTGTGTAAAGCTCAATTTGCCAGCTGGATTAAAGTTGGAGGCTACTTCTGGACTAAGGAGCACTTCATTCTGAACCAGTATTGTCATGACATGTGTTGGAGACCTGAGATTTTTCTGGATCTTTGCCTGATAGAGGCAAGGCACTTTCATATGGTTACTGGTAAGTGAACCTAGAAGCAAGTTAAGGTGTGAGAAGGTCCTAGAACCAGAAATGTGCTATTTAAACTACAAGGCAGTTATTCTTCTGATGAACTCACCGGACAGTATATAATACTAATGACATTTTAAGAAAGATTGGAGTTGCCTATCAATTAGCAGGTATAGCTCAGTGGTAGAGCATGTGCTTTGCATGTATAAGGTCCCTGGTTCAATTCCTGGTACCTGCAAGAAGTATTTTTATCAGCCACCTTCCTCTCATTCCCTTTCCTGTATTTCCCTTAGTCACAAGAAAAGGAAGTCTAGTGGTTTAGATTTAGCACTCTCTCATTTCTACTGCTTGAAGATTAGCACATCCTAGGGCAGGGCATCAGCAAAAGAGGGTAGAGGACAAAGTAGGAATCATCCCCACCAGGATCTATGACTTCTTAAGCAAGAGCCTGAATAACCACTACCCTATTCAAATTGGGTTTTATTTTGCATGTCATGGAAGAGTGTATAAAAAGAGGAAGAGGAAAAGAAATGGCTCATGTGCCAATGGCCAATGTCTCGGCTTGGCACCAGAATCACGAGGCACTCACAGCTTTGTAGGTTCAAACAGCAATTCTTTATTCCAGCTCTCACACCACCTCCACACAGGTCCAGGGGCAAACGCGTTCTACCGTCTCCCGCACAATTCACCTACTCCACGAGGCTCTCTCCAAATCCCATTTTAATCTCACGAGAACTCAACGGGAACAAGCAGCAGGAACACCCTAATCCCAGCAATAATCTTCAACTTTAACTTCCCTAAAACCCATTATCTTAAACTGGCAACGCCTTAAACTCAAGGAGCCGGTTACTTCCTCAAACCTGATCAGCTCTAAACCCGGATCTGCCTAGGTCCTTGAGCAAGGTCACCTCATTAAAGCATGCATGCAATGTCCCATCAAATGTCCTCTAAGCAGCATGGGGTACTGCTTGGCAAGGAAATTTCGATGCGTCATTCCTACTTGGTAATGGCCCTCAGCACTCATGGAAATTTTCTCTTAGTTTTCTGAGCAGTGTGGACTTCCTTTTTTAGCTATAGAGAAGGCGTCTGAAATGAGAATAGCATAAAGACTGAAAAGAATCCACAAGAATTGGGTGAATTAGGAGTCACTGATATGTATTCCTGAAAAACAAAATAATAGTTTGCTCTTCAACTGATTTGGACTCTGAGATTCTTTGTTTTTGTTTTAGGAATCTTCCTGGCCTGTCAGCATTCTCCAAGGCTGTTCCACAGCCCACTCTGATAGGTTTTTCATTCCATCACCAAGGAAATTATCTGGACTGGGGCATTTTCTTAGGTAGGTCTTCAGATTTCCCCTTTTCCCCAGTTTCCTTTTCCTACAAACCTTCCCCAAAGATGACAAAGGTAAAACAGAAAGATATAAAGAAGACAAGTTAAAAGCTGCCTGGGGAAATTTAGGTCCTTGCGACAGAAACTGAAAGAATTCACAAAACCTAACATGTAAAGTGAGAGTATATGTTTAGCCAGTCTAGGGGTGTGTGTGTGTGTGTGTGTGTGTGTGTGTGTGTGTGTGTGTGTGTTTATTGCTGAAGTTTAGATTTTAAAAACTGAAGGCAGCGGGGAGGAGGGAGAATATTAACTGTTGAATACATAGTCTTTTAGATGGAATTCTCTGCGGAATAAGGAGAGGGCAAGGGAAAAGATGATCTATGAAATGAACCAGTACTTTGTATACTTAGAGAGTGTCTCAAACTTTAACACTGAGTGAAAATGGTCCATGCTTTTCTCCTTTTGCCACTATTTTGTATGATAGTCAACCGCTATAGGAGTTTTGAGTGAAGACTGAAAGCACATTGCATACAAGAATAGTGATTTATATAATTTCAAAATCCTCCCTTGATTCAAAATCTGGCATATATGGGAAACACGGCCAATAAAGTCAAACACCCAGAACCTGGATGGCATTGGCTGAATTACTGGAAAGATCTTACTCAAGAGGATGTAGAGTGAATCCAAGATGAAAGGGAAGTGATGAGCACTTGGTAAGAGTGATGAGGCTAGGTTGGGGTTAGCAAAGTGGGAAGAAGAGGGCTGGAATGTGGATCTTTAAGTACTTTAAGGAAAGAAGATTAAAAAAAGTTTTGTCCTGTGGGAAGGTCCCACTTTTCTTTACTCAAACTCTGTCAACTTTTGAAGGTGTCTGTGAGTTGTCTGCATATATCTAAGTTCTTCAGAAGGCATCAGTGTGGTTGAGTTTTTGTTTTAAATGTAGTAGCATCTGGTATCGGTGGCTTTCCAGAAACAACAAGGAAGCCAAATGATTGAATGGGAGCATAGATATGTTACCTTAGAGTAGATGACAATGAACAAATGAGTTCAGCTTTATTAAGTTATCAGGGAACTAGGGGTAAGGTGAGACTGGGTAGCTCAGTTGGTAGAGCATCAGACTTTTAATCTGAGGATCCAGGGTTTAAGTCCTTGTTCAGACATAAACTGCTGGTATTTATCTAGATTTATCTAAATAGATTTATGTAAGTCCAGATAGCATAACATTGCTGGAACTCCCCCAGAAAACTCATTAAATGGGTATATACCCAGGTGAGGCTGTTACTAGTTTCTTCCCCCTCCTTTGCCTATATGAGTCTTTTTTTATGTTCTCAGAAATCCCATGACAGTTATTAAGCTTGGGAAGGAGAAGGAACATCCCATTTCTGGGGTTTGAGGTTGAACAGTTGGATAGAAAAATAACTAACAGCCTGAAGAATTCAGGATTTTATGGACATAAATTTTCCCATATTTGTATATGAATACACAACCAGTATAACTCCACATCATGTACAACCACAATGGGAAGTTTTACTTCATGTATGTATAATATGTCAAAATATATTCTACTGTCATGTATAACTAAAAAGAATAAATTTTTTTAAAAGTACTTTAAGAATTCAGGATTTTGTTTGTAGGTCTAAATTTAAGAGATCAAGGTTTTGTTTGAAAAGCAGAATAGAGAATGAATTTTCAAAAATAAACCCATCTTCTTGCTAATGTAAATGGTGGTACCTTTTAGCAAACAATGAGAGAAGATGTTCTTCTGCTTGCTGGTAGGTTGTTTTCTTTTTTGCTTTGTGGTGGTTGGATGGGACCAGAATGAAGGAGGAATTTGGGTTTGATTAAGAAGCCTACAAATTTAAGATACAATCTTGTGAAGGTATTTAGAAAACTCTGAAACTGCAACTCTGCAGAAATCTCTGGCTGGAATTCTTATATTGAAGCTACAGAAAAGAGATACAGTGAGAGTTTTAAAAGGGTTCATTCTGATTTGAAGATTAGGATCTCACTAACAGCATTTATGGAAAACCTTATGGTAAACTACGGTGATTTTAGCTCTAGATTCATTCCAGATAGCATAACATTGCTGGAACTTCCCCCAGAAAACTCATTAAATGGGTATATACCCAGGTGAGGCTGTTACTAGTTTCTTCCCCCTCCTTTGCCTATATGAGTCTTTTTTTCATGTTCTCAGAAATCCTATGACAGTTATTAAGCTTGGGAAGGAGAAGGAACATCATTTGTCTGACAGAACTTGCCTCTCCAGTTGGTCTAAAAGGCTCATCAGGCTGCTGGAATGTGAGAATAGGAAACATAAAAAGGACAGGCCTCACTGAGGGAGAGAATTAAGATGGTGTTATATGCAAATGTGTGCAGGCACGTATATTTGTGTATGGGGACAGGGCTGGTTCAAACTTGGTTCTGGGGTTGGTGTAAAGCACAACTAGGATTATGTCAGCTGTTTCTGGTAAACCATTCCTCTGCATTGTGATTGGAACAGACTATATTCCAAGCAGACTCTTGCTTATTTCTTATATAAAAAATTTTTTCCCATTTACCTCCAGCTATATCTCATAAATAATTTTATTTTGTAACAAGGGCCCATTTTATGTTTTCTTTGCACAACATTCTTGAAACATATTTTTCAATGAAAGGCAGTGTGGTTAGTCCTTAAGTCACAGATTTTTCTGAGGAACCCAAAATCTTACACAAAAGACAAAACATGCCAATGCCTAGTATACTGTATTGAGAAGTCCCCAAAACATATGAAACTGAAGTCTAACTCACCTATATCCTGAGAGGAAATAGAAGCCAACTGAGTCCTGTTTTAGAAGATGTTCTAGAGAAACTATATTGGAATATCACTTGAGTGTGTTGAGATATCATTGCATACAACATGTATGATATCATCTGATATTACAAAAAAAAAAACTTTTACATGACCCTACTTTACAGATATGGAAAGAGTAATGAAGTATGTTCCAGAAATTGCCTATATCACCAACTTTTAAATGGCACTAAGTTAAAGATCTAGTTTTTAGGACCGCAAATCTTGAATTACTTTTTTATAATATCATATTTCACTCACATATATACAATTTAATGTGTCCCAAGCTGTGTCATTCACTGTGTGTAGATTGTGTTGCACATAGTAGCCTCTTGAGGGGCTAGGTGTGGCTCTGCAAACTCCCTGTCATGGAATGAATGCATGGTGCAAGTGCACCTCTGCCTCTAGCTCTGCCTCAGATCCCACACAGTACCCGAGATGAGTGTGACTCGCTGTCAATCAATCTGCTGACCAGGAGATATCAGGAAGCAAGACTCCACCCTTGAAACCTTATCCTCCCTCTAATGTCTCCACTATAAAATAAAGAAACGTGGGCTCACCCCATAGTCTCTTTTCCAGTGCTCTTTCCAGCGTGGAAGCTGACCTTTAAGGTCACAGAGCTGTCCCTCCCTCGATTTGAAAACTACTTTTTCTGTCATGTGTTTTTTTTGCCTCTTTCTTAGCTTAATGTTGCAGCAATTGAACACAGTTCAACAGTTGAACACAGTTCATCTCGACTATATGGGTCGTTGGCAAGATTAATGGTCTCCTTTCATTTCAGGTCTTGTGCCAAATGCTAAAGACAAAGAGTTCAAAGAAATGGAGGATAAATAATACAATCTTATTTCCTTCACAAATTTCACATGTTTTTCAGTTCAGGCTCCTTATAAACATTCAAAAGTTATTTGTTTAATGATGTCCCAAGTTTCCAATCAGAATCTTTGACAAAAAGAATTCTTACACTTTTATCACTTTTTAAATTTGTGAATTGCCAAAGTTAAGTCAAATAAATACCAAAGTTGAATCATTTCTGCAATTTAGAATAAAGGGACCAGAAGGAACAGAACAATCTTGAAAGGACT